ATTCCTTCTTGCCTCCTAGAACTCCCCTCCAAATAGAGGTCTATTTGATGGTTGGTGGAGTAAGTGATACTTGCTGAAAGGTTTACTGGACCACTGCGCAGTCCTTATTTGAGGAACATTTCTAAAGTGCTTCTCAGTATCTCTTGATCATGTACTTTATGTGTGGGACTAGTCCAGGTGATCCCCATAGGTCCACAAGTTCTACTGGGAAGCACAATATACACCATACCCCTTCTTCATAGTTCAAAGCCCATAGTTTGTGGGCAGGAGGCTGTCTTCAAGCCTCTCCAAATGTCTGTGGCATAGGAGTTTCCATCACAATGATTATTTTTGGTGTGCAGTGATACATTCATAGATATTGGCAAAGTAGCAGGATATTGGGTGATTTTTTAAAGCATTTTTTAAGTACAAGAACATGAAAGTTTAGGTATAATGAAAACCAGGATGGGGGTGTTATCTCCTCAATATATATTAAGGAACCTATGGCTACAGATATGCAAATGATTGCTGATGACTCAAGACAAGGTGCTGCAGCAACCAAAGAAAGTTAATATAAACAAACCTCCCAGCCCTGATGGTATACATCCACGCGTACTTAAGGAACTAAGTGAGCCTTTGATTTTTTATCTTTAAAGATTCTTTTGTACAGGAGAATTGGAGGAAGGCAGATGTGGTTCATATATTCAAAAAGGGTTCAAAATCCCTGCCTGGAAATTATAGACCTGTGAGCTTACTTCTGTGACTGGGAAAGTATTTAAAAGGTTATTAAGGGATAATATTCAGGAATTCATTGAGAAGAATGTGGTTATTAGCAAACATCAGCATGTCTTTTTTTTTAAAACATGGGTCATGTCAAACTAACTTAATTGCATTCTAAAAAGAAATATGTAGAATAATTGATTAGGGTGTTGCAGTGGATGTGATCTACTTGGATTTTACCAAGGCATTTCACAGTTTCAAACAAAAGATCAATGTTCAAACTCAAAGAAATTGGTCTAGATGAAAATTCTCGCTCTTGGGTAGGACATTGGCTAAAAATTACAGAGAGTTAATATTATTGGTACATTTTCAGGCTGGACAGAAGTAGCTTCCCCCAGGGTTCTGTTCTGGGACATCTTCTATTTAACATATTTATAAATGATCTTGAAATAAGCATTGTAAGTCATGTTTCAGTGTTGTCAGATGACACAAAACCATTTAAAGTAATACAATGTGGCACCTCAGAGGGGATATGATAACATTATATATGTCCGGGGCTAATACAAAGCATTGTCTGCAAATCTATTCACAAACAGGACTATACTTAGGACACAAGGTTATGCGTTTAGACTGGAAGAAATTAAATTTAGTTTAAGACAAAGGAAAGGTGTTTTTACTGTAAGAACAATAAGGATGTGGAATTATCTGCCTGAATGTACAGTTGTTTAAACAGGAACAAGATGCATACTTGCAGAAAACACAATATTCAATTATATCATTTTTCAACTGCAGGGTAAAAGCTTCTTGATCCAAGGATAAATCTGACTGCCATTCTGGGGTCAAGAAGGATTTTTTCCCTCTAGTTTGTTGCAATATTGAAAGTGCTTCAAACTGTTTTTTTTTTGCCTTCTTTTGGAACAAAAGCAAAAAAAGAGACGTGAGGAAGGCTAAACTTGGTAGACACGGTCTCTTTTCAGCTTATGTTACTATGTAGCTAACTATGTAACTATTCATATAATTAATTAAATGAATAAATGATTATGAAGACCACATTTGTCAGTTTCATTTTTTAAAGTACTGTCTTAAACTACAGAAGAATGAAAATAGGCATAACTTATGTATTTATTTACATGATGCCATTGAATGCTCACAGAACAGAAAAGAAATCCTTATTACCTTTATATCAACATTCACGGTGTCCAGTACCCGCTTAAAGTTCCTTCTGTCACTTCTGATGCTATGAGATCCTACAGGAGAGACAATGATAATTAACAATTAATGATTACAATTTCTGAATATCATAGCTGTAGCAGAATGAACCCTGCTATCCTATTTATACATACTCTGGGCTGTCCGTATCCCCTTTGTTTTCCCATCTCCTTGTCCCCCTGTGTGAGAAAGTAACCCTTACTATGCGAGACTTACTCCCCTGGCTTTGTTACCTATATTTTTCCCTTTTTCACCTGGCTGTTCGTAAAAAAATACATTCCCTTAAATGGTTCACACAGTTTTGTACAACAACCGAACAAACTACCGAACGGCAGTCCACCCAGCTATGGAGTGTGCCACTCATTAACTCAGTTAACACTTCCACAAACCACAACCACACAAACGTTCCAAGCAGTCGGCTGGGTGGTCCCCATTCGTATAGATGAACACGTGGCTGCTGCCATCTTGGGACACGAACAAAGACAGCTATGTTTGGTCGTCGAGTGCATGGAACTAAAATCGGACACTCAACGGCACGAACACCGCTGGGACTTCCACCTCCATCGAAGTTCACCTAAAAGTGCACGAACAGAGTGCTATTCGGTAAAAAAATCTACCGAACGAGATACATATAATAAAGGTATGCACGAACGGATCCGTTCGTGAAATTTACATATTATTTGACTGAGAAGGTTGACCGGCCGCACAGTCTAATTCTTTGGAACTCTTTTGGGCATGAAATCAAGACTGTGGTCAGTTAAATGTGACTTCCAAAGAATTTGTGAACCCCTGCTCTGATCTGGGTTATTTTTGCATATGTTGTTCACCCAAATCAGAGCTATCCAGGGATGTGCTCTTTATAGGGATATGTCATGTTTTTGGGGTACTTCTGGAAAATGTGAAAAATTTGTTTTTTCCTGCCTGGAGATAATCGAGTTATTACATTATCTACCTCAATTATCTACCAGGCAGAGGGGTTGGCTTATACATATTGTATGGGAGTGTCTCTATGTATAACCCTGTTTTATTGGTCTGTTAACTTTGTAACTCGATGCCCCACAAGGTCCACCTGGGTGGTAACCTTATGGGGAAAATCACATAAAAGGCAGTGTGCCAGCATTAAACCTTCAACTATTCCCCCTAAACTGAGTGTCATCCAGTTACTGGGGAGTTGTTACTTTGCTGCATTTACTTGTTCCTGTGGATTACCATCCTTGTTCCTGAGTCATCTTGGACAAAACCAGCTGGGAAAAGTCCCTGTTATACTAGCACTTCGCTACAATAGCCAAAATAAAATTAGAGGTAATATGCAAAGGCTAAATAATTGATCATCTTCAGAAGTGTCATTGGAATTACAAAGCAAATTTACAAGTTATTCATTAAATATAGCTGAAATAGATTCTCCATCTCCATAATTATAACTTGACTATTTGCTTCAGGTTTCAATTCAAATTTAATTCATGGAAATTTGGAGTTAAGTGAATCACTGGAATAATTATAATCTGCAGCACACTAGTCCTTCCAGACACCCCTGAGAGGCAACAAAGAAAGAGATCACCAGAATCGTGTTTGCTGTGTCATCAGAGTAAACCCTTACTGAAATGGTACAACATATGACCAAAGTAATGTTCACAATGTCTGGTCTTGGTGGTAGTAATGAATCTGATAATCATATCATTCTTTCTAACACAACTTCAGACATAGTTTATTAACTTCCTAGGACTGTGAGCCTCAACTGTGAGCTATAGGAACTATAAGAGGGGTGATAAGAGAGGGGGGAGGGTAGAGGACAGACATCAAGCAGTTCACCATTTCCTCTAGCTAGTGTGCACTCTTCTCCAGCATCTTCTCCATCTTGGCTAGGTCTATCATTATCTGCTTTTGAATTGCCTTTTAAAAAATGAGACCGTTGTAAGACTACCTGCTATGAGTGCCACAACTAGTTCACCCACTGGCATTATTACCATCACCCCCACCACCAACAACAACATTGCCACTACCCCCATAACCAGAACTATCACCGTTTCAATTAGCATTACACAACCACATGCTAGTGTAGAGGTTAGTGCTAAAATAGCTTCTACTGCCACTGATAATTCTCTACCCATATCTTCAGCAGCATAATGGCAAAGGGTTTAGACTAATGTACTGCACCACTTGAGATCCTTTCAGTGTCTCCAAGAGGGGACATTTTTAAAAGTACAATTTGTGCAGCAAGAAAGTAAGTAGGGGGAGAGTGGTGGGTAATCTCACTAGTGTGGCCACCACAAGTGTGGGTAATCTCACTACATCCAAAAGGACACGACAAGTATGTATTGATGAGGGAAGAGGCAGAAAAAAACAGTACTAGGAGAGACATCAGGTTCACTGGTACTGTATATTATTCTGTGCAGTTCTAACCATCTATCAGCAGTCAGACTCCTCATCATACATTGAATTAAAATAAGTAAAAACTAATAGTAAAACTGGCTACTGCCAGTGCACATACATCTATTTTCGTAAATTGCAAACTAGTATGCTCAGTAATATACAGTTTGTGCTGCTTATTACTCAAGTGAACCTTTTAGCTTTTAGCAGAAAAACAAAACCTAAAAAATTGTGGTGGTTGTAATGGTTTCACATTGCCTTTATTGTGGTGGTTTCACAAAACAAACAATATGCACAGCGTGAACAAGTAACCGTCAGACTACCCTGTACCCGAACAGGAACACAAGGACTCCTGATCTGTGCCGTTATGCTGTGGAGATGCGTAACCCGACCATGCGGCCTTCCATGTCATGCGGCCCGAAGCCCTGGGGGTGTGGCCGACCCTTGGACCGGAGACACAGTCTCTGTGGAGACAACTCTGTGGCCCTGCAGCCCTCCCCCCTTTGATACAGTGGGGGATATCCTAGTCTCCACTGGGGAAACTCACCTCTACACCACAGTGGCATCCCTTGCCATGCCGCCATCGGCAAGAACCTAAGATGGCTGCTGCATCACAACCTGCACAATCCCAGGAGGGCCTGGCTACCCTGACGTAGAAAGAGTGTTTAAAAACTAAATTTGACTAAATCTGCCAGGACTTTTGGGAGCACATCCTGCTCTCTTGCTTGGCCGGTCCGGCTGTACAGATGTCAGTTGGATTCCCGAGTTGGATTCCCGAATGGAGATCCCTCCAATTGACCAAGGGATGCCTCCTACTTCGGAGCACCCACAGGTTAGAGAGCTTGAAGTGTGGAGAGAGAAGGACCCAGAATGTGAGTTGCTGATGCCCTTCAAGGCCTGGGTTCACAGGAGTGCGGTGTCGAGCCATAGCAAACTTCACACAAAAGTCTGGCGTGACACATGGCTGTTCCACCAAAGCTGTCTCGCCGCGAATGGTGGATGGCGAGACACACATGAGCTTCCCAGGCATAGAATTCCTAATTTGCGACGGTGGATACGTAGGGCAGGAGGTACAAGAACACACCTCAGCCAGATGTAGCTGGATGTCAGAGAGCCTTGTGCAGAACAGTCCTGAGATGTGGGCCTAATGGGGCAACCCCTTTGTTATTAATGGAACGCTGCCGCATCATGTATCCCCATGTGAGGGCATCGGCTACTGCTTCTCCCTACATCAGCTCTGTTTTTCTATCAGCCTCTCTCAGATCAGATATGATTGTCTAAATTGTTTTACTGTATGGATGTGTTCAAACTAACCAGCAGCTGTAGTTATTTTAAAATAGCCAGTGGTATTATTTCCCTCTCTCGTTAATCACTTTAATTACCAGTTAGTGCTGTCCACCTCAATATCAGTTCTTTATTATATTCTTACTGAGATTTTTTTTCCCCTTGTTTATATATTAAAAAGTGCAGTCTGCTGACATTTTGTGATATCCTAACATTTGAACACTATAAACAATCGGAAATTGTCATATATTGCTTGTACGTTATGCTATGCTATCTGATGTGTATACCTTGTACAAACAGCAATAAAGCAAATGCATAGTGGTGATTATGGTTAAATAATAATCAGTCAAGCAGGATTTCTTATGCTTTCTTTATATTGTGATATACTTTTATGCTACTGTCTGAACAATTGAGAGTGTTTTTTTAAAAGATTATGTCATGAGATAAATAAATCATTGTCCCACGTACACATATAAAAAGGCAAATTTTTGACAATTTTGGAATTGATACTATCTATTGAAATGGTTTTATATTGGCTTCTCCAACACATACTTGGTTATTCAAAATGTGTATTTTGTGTTGAGAGTGAGTGTCAATAAAGTCCTAAGCTAGGAATAAGTTGCTGTAGTGTAGTTGGTTAAAGGTTCTCTATTGTAAACAGGAGATCCTGAAATCAAATCTGAGCTGAGGTATTTTTTTTCTTTTTAAATATAATTTGTCTATTTGGAAAAATATGACCAACAGAAGAAAAGGATGAGGGCAAGTTGCTATTCAATCCTGTAATATTTACTGTATAAGTGTTTACAGGGTGCAGCACAACAGATTAAGCTGTTTTGAGGGGTTATAAAAAATTAACTGAGTTAACATTGAGACATAATGTTCAGAATTCACTTCCTTCTCAATAATGTACGGGCCTATCACTCCGAATAGTGATATGGCACACCACACCGTTAGTTTAGGGTAAGGTAGAGTTCTTTTGTGAATCATTCGGTGGTTATTTTGACCCCAGTAGCGGAAATTTTGCTTATTCACAGCTCCACTGAGGTGAAAATGTGCCTCGTCGCTACTGAAGAAAGCTACTGCGGGAGGGATCTGTGCAAGCATTTGCTCACACAGATTTTTGCAGTTGGCGTAATCTGCTACACTCATTTCCTGAGCCAACATCATCTTGTAGGGATGAAACTGAAAATTTAAATGAAGAATCCTCCTCAGACTGCGGTCTGACATTCCCAAAGCAATTTCAAAATTGTCAGCTTAGAAGCCAATAAAGCTGGTAGAGAATGGTTATGAGAGGATACCTCCCTCTCTTTGTTATCTAACAAAAGCAAAAGGGGTTAACAGCCTCTGAAATCTTAAACTGTATATTGCAAAATGTCTGATCCATGGGATCCACAATAACACTGCTTCCTGTAATGGATAACAGTGCTGGATCAATTTCTGGAGCCATTAGTACCTGAATGTCAGGGATACCAATATGGTTTCTAAGGAGAAGGTTATCCTCTTTTACTAGCAGGGATCTGAAAGTTAGTTTGACAAAATTCTGACTTCTGACTCTTACTCGATGGCCCATCTTGAATGGACCAATTTTGAAGAGAGCACTTTACCTAAAAGTCTCACACTGGCCATCTGAAGTTGCTCAACATCACTAGTTTAGTGAAAGCTGCAGAGCAAACCACCTCCTCAGACTTCCAATGGGTCTCAAGTGATCCTTGTCTGGAACTGGACCAGCATAGGGAGGATGAATGAACAAATGCTCTTGAAGAGGATGGTGAGGGACTGACAGCACTTAAACGAGTCTTATTCTTTTTGTGTGAAAAGTGCTTTGAAACCTCAAACGAGGGAAACACACCTTAAGCTTTTGAAATGTACTGCCCCTTTAATTTGTTGACTACTTAAATGAGAGTGAGGGGAAGAGGGATCAAAATCACGTATATCATCTGAATTTGAAAAGGATGAAAGGTAACCCTTCTTTTTTCTTTTACAGGTGACTCGGACCATATGCTCCTCTGAAGATGAGATGAAGAGGAAATGAAGCAAGGAAGGCTCTCTTATGGAGCCTTCTAACATTGATGAGACTGCCTCTAGGAGAGACATCCACCATTTCAGTGGCAGACACAGAAATGGAGTATTCCATCAATGTTGACATTTTAATATTTTGAGGTGATAAGGGCTGCCGCACGCTGCATGGCTGTCCTGATCACCTAACTGGCTGAAAACATTATTGTTGTGTTTTAGCATGGCAAAATATTGGACAAATATGTTGGCGCTATATAACGCCAAAATAAACAAATACATAAATAAAGTGAGTCAAAAGTCATTATAAGTTGCGATATAAATTGAATTTTGAGAAACAATTTGAAGCACCCATCGTGTTGAGCTATTTTTATTGCTTTTGTTTGATTTGTTCATTGCAAATAGTTGAAAGTCTGTAAATTTTGACAATTAATAATATTGGGCAGACTAGATGGGCTGAATGGTTCTTATCTGCCATCACATTCTATGTTTCTATAAACCTGATTTTCAATGAGAAAATAGAAAGATGGGTGAATGAACAATAGTGATGGATATAAACCAAGTGCAGGCCAGCCTCTGTAGATTGGACACTCCAAATCCAATAGTCAAATAGAAATATATACAAAGTAACAGGGTGCCACAGTCACTATAACGGTATATATGAGGGCAAGAAAAATATATGATGACTAATGTCCAAATAAAAATAGTAATTTATTGATACAAGATAAAAAATAACAGCACAATAGTAAGTGCCAAAACAATAAGTAATCAGGAACCCATAGGTATAGCAGCTCAATAATACATAATGCTGAACTGGGCAATAAAGTGCAAAATGCTAAAGTGCAAAATGAAAGTGCAAATGCTCAAAAGCAAAATGCTGATGTTAAATATGCACCAAGTCAATGACACATATATATTCAAATAGCCCAAAGTATAAATGTGAACAAACAGCATACACACAAAATAAAGCCGCTGATACCACAATGCAGGGTCCCAGATAGTGCTCAGTATTCAATGCTCAACGCGTTTCATCGCCAGACTTCCTCAGGAGCTTCTTCCATCTTCCTCCGTCTTCCTCCTTTTAAATCCGCCGGTGTATCTACCGGCTTCCGTGATTGCCGTGATTGCGCATGCGTCCATGCGTCATCACGCATAACGTCATACGTCATGACGTATACGTAACCGCTATGCGCATGTGCAACCAAGGTGAACCGCAAACAACTTTATTGTTCATATACACGGTGGCATTTAAGAGCGATCTTATGAAAAAAACGCTCTACAAGTATGCAGACCGGATTTACACTGCCTGCCTACCCCACTACTAACCCCTAACAGAAGAATACTAAATGTAAAGGGGGGAAATATAAATCAGACAGGTGGACAAAAGGAGGAAAGGATGCAAAAAATGGAAAAAAAAATTATATGTATAAAAAATATAAATAAATAAAAAATATATATATAAAATGTATATTCTATTAAGGAAAAAAAGAGTCCATTTATATTTCCACAATGTCCATCATAATAAAGATGTACATAAACCTTACAATAATAAAAACCTCTATATAATAATAATAGCGGTATAGATGAAAAACATGTAAAAAAAATGTGGACAAATGAATAAATAATCATCAAATTATGTAAGAGTAGAGATCAATATGAAAATCTATAAATATAAATAAGAGTAATGATGATAATGGTGAAAAATGAAGGCATATAAAATCAAATCACATATAAAATTCACATATAAATATCTTTTCAAAAAATGTGATACCATAAACATCTATATAGAATATAAAAATATACAAAAAATATGTGTATAAAAATATATGAAAATATATATAGAAAATACATACAAAAGATATATATCCATATTAAACAAATAAATAGATAAACTCAAAGATGTAGATAAAAAGAGGTCATAAATAAAACATCGTACAATCAATCCATAAAAACTAATATGTCCAAATCGGTATTCAATCCTGAGGGAACAGAGGATTTCATTTTAAATATCCACTCTGTTTCTCTCATGGCTAGCCTCTTTTCTGTGTCCGCCCCTCTCCAGTGAGGTAAAACCATGTCGATCCCAATACAAATAAAATCATTAAAATCAAAATCTTTGCATGTATTACAGTGTCTGGGTACACTATGCTTCTCATTTTTATTTTTAATCCCATTAAAATGTTCAAGCAATCTAGTGTGTAATTTCCTAATCGTCCGTCCAATATATTGGACCCCACATTTACACTGTAGCAAGTATACCACAAATTTACTTTGACAGTTGATAAAATGTTTTATTTTAAAAGTTTCTTTAGTTACCATACTAGAAAATTCTGTTGTCTTATTCTTTTGAAATTTACATGTGCTACACCTACCACATTTAAAAAAACCTTTAGGCCTTTCTATTAAGAAATTCATCTTCTCATTTTCAACTTGTCTTTTGGGCAAAATACTAGGAGCTAAAATATTCCTCAAATTATTGGGTCTTTTATAAATTACTCTAGGGTTCTGAGGTAAAATCTTTTTTAATAGAGCTGATTATATGAAAGAGTCTTTGAGGCTATTAGGTGATTCAGATACTTATAAGATTTTAAAGAGTAATCCTACAAGCAAATTTAAAGAGGAATTACATGGTATTTTATTAACAGGTTTGAAGAACGAGATTATAAATAAAGATGAATTTAATTATTTATGTATTAACTCACCTAAGACAGCTGTCTTTTATTACTTACCTAAAGTGCACAAATGCTTGGAATCTCCACCAGGAAGACCTATTATCAGTGGTATTGGGTCTCTCACTAGCAATATCTCACAGTATATCGATTTCTTTTTGCAGA